TCAGTTCTAAGAAAGTTTGTCATCCTGAAAAACTGTTATACCTCTTTCTTTTGAGAAAGAATGTTTAGTGTCTTAGAATCCATTAAAAACTTAAGGGCTATCATACCTTTACCAGGACTAGCATTCATTTAACTTTTTTGCTAATATTTACTTATACTTTGCTAATTTGCTTCTGTCGTTTCAAAAATCTTTATTCAAAATGAGGTGAGTCAGCACCCTACAGAGTATAATTATTTACAATAGGTGGAAACTCATTGTATGACTGGTATAAATACAAAAATCTAGACCCAGAAAACCAAATTACATACTAGGAATCAAGATCAAAAATGGGATTAACACCTAATTTACTCTGATTATATACAACTACTTGCATGAATATACTAGGTAAAACAATTAAAGCATTCATTTCCACAAATTAATTTCTAATTGTAGATTTTTATCTACTTTATTTGGCTAAAATATAATGTTTTCTGTTGCAAATCAAAAAGACAAATATTTGAAATTTTTACATTATTAGATTCACTAACAATATCTCTCCCCCCCTTTTAAATTTTTTTTAATTGTAGACAGACACAATGCCTTTATTTTATTTATTTATTTCTTTTTGGTGCTGAGGATTGCCTCACATATGCTGGGCAAGTGCTCTACCACTGAGCTATAACTCCAGTCCATCTTTCCCCCCATTTGATTACCCAGATTTTAGTTTTTGCTGACAATTATTCGACAACCTAATAAAAGAGAAGTTTCTAATCTTCCTGAGTTCACATATAAGTGAATCTCAGTAGTGAATTACAAAACATATACTAGCTTCTTCTTCTTTAAAAAAAAAAAAAAAAAAAAAAAAAAAAAAACCTGAATAAGATCCCTCCTGGTAGCTTCTGGTACACCTTATCTTAATCTTGATGAGGCATGTAAATAGCAGCTTCAAGATTATATATCAAGAAGATGACACTGTTATTAGAGCTATGGCTTTCAAACTAACTAAAAGACTTAAGGCCCTAAGAAAGTCACAGTTCCTCCCCCAAGGTACCACAAAAACCCACTTGTGTCATGCTTTGTTTATACACTGAATAATTCACTATGATTTTTCAGATGTTTTCAGTAGAACTTTAAATTCATTTAAAAGCATTTATTTAAACCATAACCAATGGTGTGTGGGGGGGTTCATAACAATGTTTTAAAGTTAAAAGGGACCAATTATTTAAAAAGGCAGGGATCTATCACTTCACTGGTTAATAACAAGGTTTTAATGTGAGATGGTCCTAAATATGACACCTGCCTCTATTTTTACTAATAGAAATGACCTTGGGAAAAGCCTTAACTATGGTAAATACAGATCCACTGGGCTCTACATTGGTCAGAACTTTCCTGGAAACCTAAGTCAATTTCCTGTATTCACAAGGTGGGAGGAATAGAACTTGGCCTAGGACTTCTGGGGGAATTTTTTAAATGTCTAACATTTGGGGGGTTATCAGGTAGATTAGAGGGATTAGAGGTTGGGTTCAAATTACACTACTGAAAAATGGCAGAATTAAGAAGTTAGGGAGAAGCAAACTTTGGCTACATTTTAGAGGACTTCCTAATCACAATCATCCTATACTCCAATAGGCTGATTAGGAAGGTAATCATAAGTATTCAAACACAACGACTAAAGCTATAAGACCACCTACCTAGCATTTGGTAGAAAGCACACAACATAGGGAAACATACAACCTCTTTCCCAATTTTAAGAGATTGAGGTGACCATAATAGTTCTTGTGCTTTTATAGTTGCCATTTAATTATCATAATAATCCTATAAAATAAGCACCATTTTTAAAAGAGGACAACAGTGAGAACAACTAACTTAAGTTGATCATGGGAACATAATGTGTAAATGGCAAAGCTGACTTTCAAGCCCAATACATCTGACTCATTTTGGGCTCCTTTTCACTGTCTCAGCAGATCTCAACCTTGACTCACAGTAGAATCACCTCTTGAACTTAAAAGAGGAATAATGGTCAATTTAGAAGCACTAGTAAGTTCAAATGGTTGGAAGGTAGCACATTGCTAATACAAACAAATTTGTGAGTTTAAGTGCAGATACAAAGTTCTATCAATGACATAAGAATACAATTATCTTTTATAAGATGGTAAGAATTAAAACTGAAGACATGGTTGACTAACAGCAGCTAGTTTAAAACAGACCTGCTGGGCATAGTAGTGTATGTAATCTAAGCATCTCAGGAGGCTGAGGCAGTTCAGAGCCAGCCTCAGCAATTTAGTGAGGCCCTAAGCTGTTTAGAAAGACCCTAAGCAGTTGAGCAAGTCCCTGTCTTTAAATTAAAATATAAAAAAGGGATGGAGATGTGGCTCTATAGTTAACCATCCCTGGCTTCAATTTCTAGTAAAACAAAACAAAACAAGACATAATCCTAAATTTAATATAGAACTAATCTTAATCCTATACAAGGATGGTGAGAAGAAGCCAGGTAACAATTGCTAATAGTATTCCTATTTTTGAAAGTATGCATTTCTTTAAGTCCAATCATATAGTTTTGCCAATCAACTATTGATATTACTCAAAAGAACAGCTTATTCTTTAAAGGAAATGCATTGCACATATTTGCAAGGGCTCAAATATATATATATATGTATACATGTATGTATTTTAAAATATTATAAGGTCCCACCATACTGGAACAATCCATGTAGCAGTAAGTCAATGTGGTCCTAATGTGGCAACTCCATCTAGATCTTCTATATTAATAATTAAGTCCAAACAAAGTACCCTCAGAGATCTTATTTCTAAAAACTTGATATAAAGTACTAGAAAAAACAACAGTAAATACTATTCACTAACATATATACTAATTTTCACATAACTAAAATTTCTACTAAAAAATAATCCACATCCAATAATTAAGAAAAACCCATTTCACAGGTTTACTATGGCATTTTGACCCCTGGGAGATAAAATAATAATAATTCTTTTTAATAGAAAGTATTTCATCCTCAGCCAGGTGCAGGGGCTCATGCCTGTACTCTCCAAGGACTTGGGAGGCTGAAGCAGGAGGATTGCAAATTCAAGGTCAGTCTCAAAAATTAACAAAGCCCTAGCAACTTAGTGAGACCCTGTCTCAAACTAAAAAAATAAAACAGGCTGGGGATGTGGCTCAGTGCACTTTTGGGTTCAAACCCTAGTACCAAATAAGAAAGTATTCCATCATCAGATGATCATCATCATCTAAAAATCAGTCAATGAATAGTCACAATGTTCTGAGATACAAGTACTTGATAGTAGTGCACAAGCCTAAGAGGTATGTGTAGGAAGAAACCTCAAACTCACTGAGCTCCTTCTTCAAATAAAATTAGGCACAGCCAGATTAAACTAAAGATAAAAATTTCTACTCTTTCTATTCATACTCTTAACAGTGGTCTTCCATCTCATTCTATAAGAAATTCCCATCATCAAGGTGATATGCTAAGATTCTCGAATACATTCTTTTAGGAATATACTGAAGAAAAGGTTTTCAGTGGCCTCTCTTCTAACTAATGCAAAGGAGAAAGAAAATTAGATGGTGTAATTGGATAAGCTTAAAATATTTCAGTTTCTATAAAATCTGTAATGGAAACAGAACAGTAGCTCTAAACAAATTAGAATAATTTAGTTGGGCACAGTAGTGCATGCCTATAATCTCAGCAGCTCAGGAGACTGAGGCATGAGGATTTTGAGTTCTAAGACAGCTTCAGTAATTTATCAAGGCCCGAAGCAACTCAGCAAGACCCTGTCTCTCTAAATAAAATATAAAGAAGAGCTGGGGTTGTGGTACAGTGGTTAAATGCCCCTGGTACCAAAAAACAAACAGAAGTTAGAATAATTTCATAATTATTTAAATTGTATAAAATAAACATTTTTAAATACAGCTGGGCACAGGGGCACACACCTGTAATCCCAGCAACTTGGGAGGGTGAGGCAGGAGGATCCAAGTTTGAGGCCAGCCTCAGTATTTAGTGAGACTCTGTCTCAAAACAAAAAATAAAAAGGGTTAGGGATGTGGCTCAGTTGTAAAGTGCTTCTGGGTCCAATCCCTAGTACAAAAAAAAAAAAAATTAAATGCAAAAAAGACAAAGTGTTAACTAGGTCTTACAAATGTTCCAGAATGAGCCAGGCATGGTGGCACGTGCCTTACTCCCAGCTACTCAGGAGGCTGAGGCAATTGATCACAAGTTGGAAACCTGTGTAGGCAACCACTTAGCTATATCTGTCTAAAAATAAAATAAAAAGAACTGGAATATGTACTGTGTACCGTGGTAGAACACTTGTAGAGTATGTACAAGGCCCTGGTACTGCCAAAAAAACAAAAGGTTCCAAAATGACACCATGATTGTATATAATGAAAAAGACTATCTTTTCTAGTACTAAAAAAATAATTACTACAGAGGTTAAAGATGAGAAAAGTCAAAGAAGCGCACACAGAGTTCACATTCCTTAATAATACAGACAGTCCCCAATTTAAGATAGTTCAGCTTAAAAATTCCCAACTTATGGTGTACAAGTGCACCCACACAACCATTCTTTTTCACTCTTAGTACTTAGCACTTATTATAAAATAGGCTTTGTGTTAGATAAGTTTGCCCAACTGTAGCCTAAGTGTTCTCAGCATATTTAAAATAGGCTAAGCTAAACTGATGTTCAGGGTGCTAAGTATATAGCATGTTTATATGACCTGGTAGTTTTTTTTCTTAGTTCATGAAGCTATAACTTCATCTTAAATCAAGGAGCATCTGTGTATATGATGCTTGGTTATTAATACCAACTTTTGAGAAACTCACATATACATGTTTGAGAAAAGATAAAAATAAACCAAAAATTTTTACATTTAATGATTTCTCCCTTACTCTATTACAGACATTCAATGAGTACTATTATTTTATAATAAAACTTCAATTAAAAATATACTTCAAGATTATAGCCCATTAGAATGAAAACTGATTTATCTTTGTATATACAATATTTACCTGGTTCCTCCTTAATGATTAGGGTCTTATTTTCTTCTGCATAGGCAACAGGTGGCTGCATCGCTGAGCAATCTTCTAAATTTGTTTCATTATTAGGTGGTATATTATAAATAAATCTCTTTGTAGTTTGGTTTTTCCTCCTTGTTTTGCCAGTGTCTTGAATTCCCTGGGAGACCATGTTATTCCAAATAAATACTTTTGTTTGACCTTGAGATTCATTTTCAGCCAATTCAGGAGAACCATCCTGGACCCAATTACTGTCATTCATTTGGTAGTTTTCTATTTGGCCCTCGTCGACATTACAACCATCATTTTCAATTTTTATATTACTTGCCAAATTGGTAAGATTCCGTGTTGCCCAAAAGCTGGCAATTTTTTGATCCCGTGAAGACAGACCATCTCTATTAACTGGTTTTCTGTTATTGTAGTCCACAACTACAGACTCCGGAGCTTCTGATTTAATGCTTATATTTAAGGCATCTTTAATGAAATTTCGGCAAGTTTGAACAACTTCACTCATTTGAAGGTAGCTGGCCACTGTCATCACTTCAATGGCATTTTGGCTTGTGAGCACCAGGTTACCAGAATACAAGAAGTCCAAGATGACTGAAAAACCTTGAACTGCAGCAATATCTAAATGGGTAGTATTGTTTTGGTTAGGGCTTTCTTTGTTTGAAACGCAATATAAAGTCTTAAAGAAACGGCTGCCTGCAACCAGGATGTTCTTATGAGCTTTAAAGATTTTCCCGCTCACCACAATGCTGACATCACAAAGAATGTCTTTCTTTCTCTGTTCATCTAGTTGTCGAAGAAGTTGATAACAATAAGAGTTCTCATTTGGCCTACTATTAAAGTCACAGTACCCCTCCTCTGATGGAATTTCTGATTCCTGTAATTGAATAAAAAACATTAATATTACATTTTAAAGTCCTTAACACAAGGAAAACATTTTCATTACCAATGTAAGTTTTTAAATAGTACTAATCAAAAAATCTTGTGAGTAATCATCATGCCTTGAGATTAAAATGATCATCATCCGAAATATTAAAAGGAATGGAGTGAATAGTATGGTGCAACCCATTGCTATTAAAAGATAAATGGAACATATCTGAGAGGATCAGCAAGATTTCATTGATTTTTCTTTTCAAATATAAAATAAAGACATGATTTGAGAATTATTTAACATTAAAATCAAAACAGCAATTATTTTCTTAAGAAACTTTCATTTATGGAAATCAAAATAGTTTGCTTAATCTCTTAATAGGAAAGCAGCAATCTCCTCTATGACAGAACATAAAACATCCAAGTTATAATACAATGGAAATATCACCTAAGGTCATAAAACTATAAACTGCAAGATAAGTTAACATTTCTGAATTTAAAAATCTTATAATTTTGCTTATCAATCATATAGGTATTCACTACTGTTCAATTTTGCATTGCTCTAGGTGAATTTCTATACAATAATTAAAATTGTGTGGTTCATTATAAAATATGATCTAATTTCAGAATGCTATTTGTACTATAGTTATTAATCATGTGATCTTGGAAAAGTCACTATCCCTGAGTTGTCTTCTTAAATAACAAAGCAGAACTACAAATATTAGTTTTAACAACCTTATGACTTTCTTCATTCAATGACTAGGCTGGTAAACTTTCTTTAAGCAGAGCTATAATATCCCTATAATCCTACATAGTGCTTTGCAGTTATTAAACTTTGCTAAATAACTAATCATTTTTTTCCCCAAGAGAAAAACTGCTAAGACATTTCTAGTAGAAAGGATGACAGAAGCTGGGCATAATGGTGCATGCCTATAATCCCAACAGCTCAGGAGGCTGAGGCAAGAGGATACCAAGTTCCAAGCCAGCCTCAGCAACTTAGGGAGGCTCTAAGTAACCTATGGACCCAGTCTCAAAAAATAAAAAGGACAGGCTGGATATGTGGCTCAGTGGTTAGGCACCCCTGGTTCAATCCCGGGATGGAGAATAAGGATGACTGAAAAGGCTGACCTTGAGTGCTAAAAATTTTTAAGTGCTAAAATTAAGTGCACAATAAATGAAGCTACACACACATACTCACACAAAATCTATTTTATGAGAATAGAGAAAAACATGGAAAAATACAGGTCCAAAAAGGACCTGAAGAGAGGAAGCACAGTGGTAAGGAAGATAGGACTGCAAAAGAATTCTTAGAAACATTATTCTAAATGGTTGATTCTTAATCACAAAACTCCATTTATCAAGGAAGCTGAGGAAGAATATATGGTTAGCCTTACCAATTTCAGGAGACCCTGCCTCAAAAATAAATAATAAAAAGGACTAGAAATGCAGCTAAATGATAAAGCACCCATGGGTTCAATTCCTCATACCAAAAACAAAAACAAAAAACAAACTTCATTTAACCCAACTGCAGGTGTGGCAAACGTATAGCTTTATGTCTGAAACCTGGTCAAAGGAAGCTATACACAAAATAATAGCAATTCTCTGAAACTAAAACATAGCCCATTTGAGAATTTCTGTGCTATTTCCAGGCTTGGGTGGCCAACCAAAAGAAACAAAATATTAGAATTCCAGAACACGTCAGTGTTCCATAGGGATAATGGAACACTATAAGACTGCTACAAAATGAAGCAATCAGAGTAGAGAATTTCTTTTCATTTTCACTTGACTTTTAGCAGTCTCCCTAACCCCTCTTCATGTCTCAGGTGCATAATGCCATTCTATCACAGCAAATCTCCCCTCTCCCCATGTCCCCCAACATCATACCAAAATGTTCCATGCTCTCAATTAGCTATTTCTCTCTCCTACCCACTCAATCCTCTGTAAAAATAAACAATAAATCAAAACAAACCCATTCATGAGCAAACTTCCAAATTTTTCACTTTTGGGGGGCAGATGAGGGAAGAGAAGTGAAGTTAAAGGGTTTTTTTTGTTTGTTTATTTTTGGTGGTGTTGAGGATCAAACCAACAGCCTCATACATACACACAGGCTCCAAGGGGTTGCTTTACTTAACTTAGATCATGTATATAAACTAGTATGGTGTAAAATAGCAAAACATTAAGCAAATAGTAATGAAAATATTTAGTGCTCATGATATAAAGAACTAAGACAATACTAAAATGCCTATAATAATTACAATTACAGCATAATTTTCAATAAAGCCTCACACTGTTTACTTAATCTCCCCTTTGAGACTATTTGAATGAAATTTTATTAATTTGTCTATGCTCTTTACAGAAAATTCTGAACATGAATAGGAATCTTCTTTTAGTGTAAGCCTGACACTAAACTTTATTATACATGCTGTACCTAGTCAGCAAGCTCATTTGGTTCAAAGTTCTAATAGATATTTCAGTAAAAGCATCAATATTTGAAAGAAACAAAAATTTTAAACACTGAATAAAAATTTGGCAGCACATCCATAAAGTGTTTGTGGAAGCAGCAAATTAACATTTACAAATCAAGTACCACTTAATGTTTAAATAACAAGCAGTTGGAAGCCCTTTGGGAAGTGGTTATGTCTAATTGTAACCATCTCCTAGGTTATAGTCAACATGTCCTGTATTTTCTGGATGGGTCCCATCAATTTGTATAAGAGTCTCTGCCTTCATCACACCATAATGTTCTAATTTTTTAAAAATAACTCAGTCAAAAGTTTATGTACCAAATATTTGCCCATTCTATTTTGACATATCAAACACTATGCAACTGCTATTTTTCTCATTACTGCTGTACAAGAATATTAACATTCCCTACTTTTACAAGCAATACCAGCAATTTCTTTTCACTAATTATTAAAGGACTATGCTGTGTTTCAAACAACTTTTAAATATGCCCTTCAAAATGAACTGTTTCCAAGAGTATGTGTACTCTCCAAGAAGATTATTATTTAAAGAATTTGAGCAATACAGCTAAATATGCACATAGTAAAATAAACTGCCAATATTATTTGCTGAACCAAATAAAAGTTAAAATATTCTTAGTACTAGTTAACACAATCTTACAGTAGATTCTTAAAAACTCCAGGTATTGCTCTCTTTGGTTTCTTCAATGTTCTATTTCCATATGATATTTTGGTGGCATTAGGTATTGCAGATAGTTTTTAAATATAAAGATGAAGTTTAAATATCTGCACAACTGGTATCTTCAAGCGTAGGAACTATCTAAATAATAAGACTTTAAAGAAATGGACATCCAGACCTAAATATGAAGTCTTAAATTTAATCTGTGAAAAGGCTCAGTAAAATCATTAATTTTAAACTGGATAAGAGCTTAGGATCAGTTCTTCCAAAGTTTAGAGAAATGTCCACTTAAATTTTAACTTATCTTTATTTCCACAGAATGCTAACAAATAAAATTAACACTTTACTCAGAGGAAAAAGCTCTTAAAAGCTTAAAAAAATCCTACTTTACTCATTCATTTAATAATCATTATCAGATTACCTACTTTTAGTCAAAGCCTATGCTTAGAAACAAAATAATTTAGTTTCAGACTTTAAGTTAGTGTTAGTAGAGAGAACCTTTAGGTACTGAAGAAAATAAATAGATGTTATAAGAGCAGAGCCAAGGTCTTCTATTCCAGTTTTTATAGGTATTGCAATGTTTTTTGAGAAGAAAGGAGATCTTAGCACACTCAAAGAAGAGTGAATAAGAGGGTGAAGTAGATTCAAAGCAAATAAGACAACATGAGGAAAAAAAAAATCCTAAAATGGTCAACAGAATGCCCAGAATTCTAGATCCATCCAAAAACTTCAAGGTGCCCCGCTCATCCCCTTATGCAAATATGCACATTTTTTCCAGGGGTAAATGTTCATCATTTTCCTCAGATTTATAAAAGAATCAGATCCCTGAAAGATGAAGAAACTTCCCAGCACAGTGGTACACACCTGTATTCCAGCAATTTGGGAGGCTGAGGCACGAGGATCAAGTTTGAGGCCAGCCTGGGTAATTTAATGAGACTGTGTCTCAAAATTTAAAATTCTTAAAAGGACTGGGATGTAGCTCAGTGGTAGAGTATCTGAGTTCAATCCCCAGTACCACCACACTACCATCACCCCCCACGGACAAAAAAAACCCAAAAGCCCCAAAAATGATCAAGAACCACTGCTATTGGGGGGGGGGGTTGTGGCTCAGTGGTAGAGTGCTTGCCTACCATGCATGAGGCACTGGGTTCGATCCTCAGCACCACATAAATGTAAAATTAAGATATTGTGTCCACCTACAACTAAAAAATATTTAAAAAAAGAATCACTGCTATGGGAACCTTACAGAGTTTTTAGAGTGTAAAGTGTATGTAAATAAAAGCATGGGATATATTTAGACACAGAAACAGAGATAGACACACATATATAAATTAAAGCTGGGGATTGAACCCAGGGCCAGAGTTTTTAGAAACAATATGACAAGACTGAACTGGTAGGCAGAAGATGTGACTGTAGCAGCAATGTGGAGAATTAACATCAAACCAAGTCTGCAGATCCTATGACCAATACTGAATCTACTGTTAATAGTACAATGTACGTACAAGCAACAAGAACCTTAAGTAGGGAAGACAGATATTAATGGAGGGTGGCAGCAATGTGGAGGATTAAATCAAACCTAGTCTGCGGATCCTGTGACCAATACTGAAGCTACTGTTAATAGTACAATGTATGTACAAGCAACAAGAACTTTAACTAGGGAAGACAGATATTAATGGAGAGGGATAGGCAGAACCTAATAAAAAACTGAAAGGTTAAATCAACAGAATTTTTTGATTTTTTTAGTTGTAAATAGATACAATACTTTTAATTTTATTTTTATATGGTGCTGAGGATCAAAACCAGTGCCTTCCACATGCAAGGCGAGCACTCTACCACTGAGGACAACCTCAGCCCAAATCAGCAGAA